CACTGCCCCCGCTAACTTCGCCCACCGAGCGCCGCTGCACCGCCACAGTGTCTTCATGTCAGCAGGGTGTCCGCTGTGGGGCCCAAAAAGGCACCCCAATCTGGCTGGCTCAACCTCCTCTCTTGCACCCCCCCGCCCCACCCTAGGCAGCCACTGGCTATCCATTCCCACCTCGTTCACGCGCTCCTCCACCCAGTCCTCAGCGGGGCCGTTTACTACCTTCCCCCTCCCCTTCTAATGGTACGCGATCCCCTTGTCCCAAATCAGTTCCCCTTCCTCTTTCACCATCCCCCCCGCCTTCTTGTCTGCGCAGCCTCAATCCCCCCGTCCCTTCCCACCTCGCTCGCCCGCTCCCCCGCCCAACCCCCACCAGGCCCGCTCCAGTGACTTTGCTTTCCCTTTCTTTTGGATGCGCACTGCTACCAGTGTAGGCCCCGAACAGTTGGGAAAGGCATGTGGAGTAGGGGGCCAGCCGCGCTTCTGCCCGCTCACCAGATTGCACACATCATCATCACCTGCAGCGTCTCCGCCAGGATTGGGCTAAGGCTACGCATTGCATACACAACCAGCCTGCGGTCCGATGTTTCGGCCAGGACTCAACAAGCACGACTGCAGTTCCGGCATCCGCCATGCGCAGTGGTTCCAACGGCCGTCACGGTCCACCTTCGGTCCGTTGTTTGGCCTACTCGGTATCTGCATTGCCACCAGGTGGCACATCATCTTCGTCGTCACTGGTACTCTGCCGGGACTGTGGGATAAGGCTATGCAATGCATATCCAACTAGCATGTGGTCCTTTGTCGTACAGGGCGCCTTTCTTTCACAGTCCTAGCGTGGGTTGCTAACCAGGGTACGCCCTCGCTAGCAACCAACAGCAACAGGCTGCGATGTGGGGCTTCCTCAGGTGACGGGTATCTCCCTTTGGCAGTCCGTCCTCGGCACAACTCGCCTGAGTTAGGTGGGCGATGCAAAAATACCGATGGCCTCCCCCCGTTTCGTCCCGATTGAGCTTCCGCCATCGGGCCCTTCCCCCTTTTGGAAGGTCTAGCCCCTGTCTGCCCTGCGCCTCCGTACGGATCTGTAGCGCCAGGCGGTGCGCGCCTCCTCCTCCTCCTCCTCCTCCTCCTCCTCCTCCTCCTCCTCCTCCTCCTCCTCCTCCTCCTCCTCCTCCTCCTCCTCCCGTTCCTTACTCTTCCTTCTCGTCCTCTTCCTCCCTTTCCTCCCTCTCCCTCTCTCCCTCCAGTTTCTTGTCGGATCGGCCGAAAAAGGGGGGGGGGTAGGGAAAGGGTGTGTGTGGGGGGTGATCCCTGCTGCGACGGTCGCATTCCCTTCGAAATTGTTTTTAAAACGCGTTCCAGGACGGGTGCGGGGGTCGGTGTTGGACCCCCAGATCCAAACATCATCGCGTGTTGGAAAAAAACGACGGGCAATTTATTCTACAATTTTCGGACTCTGGGGACTACTGTTGGGACCCAAGGCCGTCAACAAAACGGGTTTGGACGAGAAGGTCCAAGGGTCCACGCGTGTGAACAATAACGCCAGCTGTCCGAGGTCTGTGGAGGCAGCGTGGGCATTGGGGGCAGCTGGGGGCCTCAGGAGCAGTTCTCCTTCTCTCTATTGTTTAGAGTTGTCCTCGTAGCGCCCCCGTTCAGCCCACCGCGCCCATTCATGTTCTGCATTCCCCCGGGATCCCCCGGCATTCCTTCCACGCTCCTCGTCGTCTCCCTCATTTTGGGAAGCTCTACGAGTCAATTGCTCTAGCTTCGGCTGCTTCGTATTCAGGGAAGCTCTACAAGCCATCTCATCACACTGATGCACGAAATCTGCTTCGCGCGCGGAAGGAAGCTCCCCACGAGCCAGAGACGGGCAGCCGGCTGTGAACCGTCAACCTTGCAACCGCCGAGAACCTCGTAGAGTTCTCTGACGTGTTCTCGGCTCCAGCAATGAATCAGTTTGCCGCAGGGGAGCTTCTGGTAGAATTTGAGATGCTTTGAGACGTACTTCCCAAGAGTAGAATCAGGGGAGTAGAGGACGGCAAGTGCTTCAAAAGGAAACCCAATTGCAAGGTGATGTGGGAATGCCGGCAGAGCAACTTGTTTCTCTAAGTATCTTGCCCAGTAGTACATGCCAAATTTGGACAAAGCCCAAGGGCGACCCTGATAAGGCACGAGTCGCTTCAGCTTGCGGTGAGTTCTGACGTGATGTCCTGAAATATTATTAGTCACGCAAAGCCCGGCAGACGACGAGGTGCCGAAGTCGGTTCGCAACGACCGGCTGGCCCTTGCGGCGACAAGACGATATTCTTTCGATGGCGTCCCCATGCTGACCCAACGGTCGAGATCCAAACCGGCCAGCTCGGCCCAATTCGGGGGCGAAAGCACACAATAGGGGATCTGAAAAGGACCCAACCCTTGTCCGTGCCCTGAACAAGCAACGAAAGCAAGCATAGACGACGACCAGCCTTCTGGCTTCAAGGTGACGAATTTGAGAGATCATTGTCACGTACCGAATCTCAGCCAGAAGGCGTTGCAAAAACCATGGACGACACGAGATGCACTGCCGTGCTCGCGATAATCGACAATCGTTGCGATTATTGGAACCAATTCGGCTATCGGCCATCACAAAGCACGTGGCTCCAATCTTCATTTTTACCTCGATGATTCTGGACGCTTCGCGTTTCCCCACCAGCCGATCCAGAAGCGATGCCCAGGCGGTTTGTATGGATCCAGGAAGTGGAGGAGCAAGCAATGGAACAAAGAAGTGCGGCAGTCGTAAAATGAAAGCTCGGGATCGGCCTGAGCAGACCCAGGAGTCAATTACACAGGCCTTCTCGGATCTTTCGATATGGGAGCCTCTTGGCAGCTTGCGTGGGCCATCTTGGTGCCCTCTTGGGGTTATGTTGGGAGCCTTTGGGGCTCCCTTGGGGCCATCTTGGCGTCGTCTTGGGAGACGTGGGCGCGCTCTTGGGGCCATCATGGAGGACACCCATCACATTTCTGGAGGTACATATTAGCTTCGCCCCTCTGGAGCCCGAAAAATCACCTATCGGGGCTCTCTCTAGGCGCCATTGGGACATCTCCTGGGGCCTTCGTGGGCCATATTGGGTGCCATGGGACGCGAAAGGCGATGATCCAACACGTAGTTACATGCCTCTGGTGTTGGCGGATATTGGCCTCTTGGGGGCGGCATTTGGGAGGCTCCGTGGACACTTGGAGCCGTCGCGGGGCAGTATTGAGGCGTATTTGGAGGCCTATTGGAGAACGTCGTGGCCCATCTTGGAACATGTTGTGGAGGCCACTTGGAGCCACATCGGAGCCACGTTGGTCCCAAAGCCTCCCGCCTACAGTGGAGACCCATGCCAAGAAACGCCCTGCTTGCCTCCAGGGTGCCCTGGGTTTCTTGAGTTTCGATGGTTTTGCGATGGAAAGCGTGACGTTCCCACGCCAACAATCAATGGACGCCCTGGGGTCTCAGGGTTGGGTTTCTTGTGGAAGGTTGATTGTGGAAGGTTTCTTGTGGTCGAGCTCCTACTGTATGCCCCCGAGATGCCAACATCTGTGACAACTAACGGTTTGTCAATGATGTTGGCTTTGAGCGAAGAGGGAGTTATCTCTCAGCCCCCCCCGTCCACAACCCTAAAGATCGCCTCGCGGGGTGCTCTTGGAGCGCCATTGGGCGCTACTGCGGCCGTCTTGAGGTCTTATTGGGCCCCTCTTGTGGTTCTCTTGGTTCATCTGCGAGCCGCCTTGATGGCTTAAAGACCCATCGGACACGAAAAGGAGAGAACGTAACACTACATGTGATTCATTCGGTTTGGGAGGTTGATCGCATCTCGAGAGCGTCCTTTGGGATGCTCCGTGGCCACTTGGAGACGTCTTGAAGCAGTATTGAGGCCTCGCGGAGCACATTGACAGCCATCTTGAACTGTCTTGCGCTAGCTTGAGCGATCTTGGAACCCACATTGGGCTTTTCTGGTCCCTCTTGTAGCCATCTTGGGCCATTTTGGGCGCTCTGCCGTTTCAGGCCCGCCCCCGTCCAGACCCAGGGTGAGTGGGTAGGGGGGTGAGCCAAGCTACCCCCCGACGGGCAGCCGTCTCGCTCATTCCCACCCGCCCTCCCACGACTCCTCAGGAGTGGGGATTGAGGCTTAGAGGATTGGGCCCAGGATCTCAGAACACGCCCACTCCGTGCCCAGCGGCACGGTGGCGGATAAGGAGCACCCGAGTCTCAGCATAACCGGGGACCGCCATCGACAGCCATGGGCACACATGTAGACTTCAGTCAAGTGCGCGACGCCCGCGAGGTGCAGTGCGCGTGCCTTGGCACCCCCACCATCTTTGTCAGATAGCAGTTTCAAAACAAGTCTCGAGGCGAGCGAGCATGGTCCAGATGTTGCCGCAGCGTGCACCTTGCATGTTTCTGTCAGGGAAAGTGGGCTTGCATACGCGGGGCGATCTCATACCCCCCCGCCCGTGTAAAACAATTATACAGGGTGCTCGCGGGGCGCTCCGACATGATTCCGAGTTTGCCACAAAGTGCATTTTGTTTTGTGTTTTGACAGGGATGGTGTCGGGAGGGCGTTGACCCTGGTTGGTGGCCAGTCGGGCGGAGCTGGGGTTGTTCATGGCAGTGAGGAACCCCTCCCAGAAGAAGGTGGTTGGAAGAGGGCATGCCTTGGACCACGTCAGTTTAGAGGGCTTGTGGTGTGGTTATTTTCGCTCCTCCTCTTCCTCACAGTTGCGCCCGCTCCTCCCGGAATTCCAGCTCCTCCGCCTCGAAACTTTTTATCGCCATTCCATCCCTCCGCTTCCCTCCCGGATCCTGCCTCCCCTTCTCCTCCCTCGCATCTCCCCCCCTCAGCGCCATCGCCCCCTGTCCCCCATCCTCTCCCCTCCTCCCGCCCCCCTCCACCCCCCCTCCCTCGCAAGCATTTCCCTCGCCGGCTCCTCCCCCGCCAGCTCCTCGCCAGCTTCTCCCTCGCCCCCGCCGACCCTCTCTGCCGGCTCAGGCCGCGCCCGTTGCGCGCCTAGGTCCGCCCGTTCCGCGCCCCTCGCCTCCAGGACCGGCGCGAGGCAAAGGGCCTCACCCGAGGGGGGTGAGCCGGGCCCCGGCCACGATGAGCAGCAGCGACTACTTGTCGTCTGGCGGCGTCCGCACCCCCGAGATCCTCGCCCAGGCCTCGCGCTTCTCCCTCGCCCCCCTCCTGCTGCTGCTGCTCCTCGTCGTCCTCGTCGTCGTCGTCCTCCTCCTCCTCACTTACGCACCCTCGTCTTTCTCATCTTCCTTCTCCTCCTCCTCGTCCTCCTCCTCCTCCTCCTCCTCGCGCTGCTGTTTCTGTTACTACGGTTCCTCCTCCTCCTCCTCCCCCTCCTCCTCCTCCTCATCCTCCTCTTCCTCCTCCTTTCTCTCTCGCAGCAGCCTCAGCTGTCCTCATCCTAGCGCGCCCAGGGACCCCCGGGTGCCACCAGGAAGCCGTGCCAAAAAGGGGGGGGAGGGAGACCACCTGACCTTCCTACAAACATTCATTGGGGAGCGGCCGCGCCACCCAGTAGATCAAGCAGGAGGTAGCGGGAACGGCGTACCTTGCGCGTAGCGTGGTACGCGGCGTATTTTGTTTGTCCGTAACGCTGAAGACGCCGTACGATCCTCCAGCTATCGGTAGCCTCTATCACTGTCGGATACCAGTTGATCGTAGTAGCATCTCTTAGCGGTCATCGTCGTCGGCCTCTCCACGCGCATGGTTATGATGTCCGTAGTTGGTACGTAGCGTGCGCGTGCTGTGGTTCCCAGATGGAGATGGCAGGCCGTAGTTGTTGACGTAGTCCAGCGTAATCGGGTTGCCATGGGGGTTCAGCGCGTCCTCGTCGTAGCTGTTGTCTCCCGTGATCTTGGGCTGGCAGCGGAGTTTCGTACTGTTGTTCAAAATTGCATCGTGGACATTGTAATTTTTGCCGTCGATCCGCAGCGTGGCTCGTTGTCGACATCCATCGGCTCCGCCTCATGCGGGTCTGGCGGGTCTTGCATTGCTTGCTGCGTATTGCAGGGGCTCGCTTTGTCCTGGGATCCGCCGTATGGTCCAGGTGTAGGTGTGGCTTGGCGGAGGTGCTCCAGGGCCTGGTTCAGTCCCGACGCACTCGGCATCAGTCCTCCTCCGCCTCCCCCTCGGCCCTCGCGCTGGTCTGGGAGTTCGGTCCTGTGCTCTAGCTATGCTGCGCGCCTGCCTGATCCGGGCAACGGCAGCGCTGAGCGCTTCGTCCAGACCGTCGGCAGGTCTGTGCGTCGTCCGTGCCTCACCATCTGCACCTATTGCGCCTGGGATATCCGTGGGACTGGGCTGTGGGCCGTGTAGTCGGGGTCGGGGGCGAGGCGGGCCCACTGTGCAGATGGGTTGAGTCTTTGCGTGGCCTCGCTGATGCCAAACTCCCTCATCGTGTGGGCCGGGCTTCCGCTCGTGCATCCAGCGCGTGCCCCCCGATCGCCCCCCATATGAATCCAGCCGTGTGTCCGTGTGGCTGCTCGGATTCCTAGTGGTTTTCCTCCATGGTCTTCCATGCTCTTCCTCGCGCCCCCTCTCTCCTCCCTCCCCACTCCTGCCTGCTTTTCCCCCCCCCCGCCGAGGCGCCTCGGCAGCCGCTTCGGCAGCCGCAGCAAGGAAAGCAGGCCGCCACCAAGGATCGGCCACACGTTAGAACGACCCTTCGCCGGAGTTGCCGTTGGTGCGCGGCTTCCGAGGGGCCCACCAGAGGGGGGGAGGCGGGGGTGGGGGAGGGCCCACACGGTTTCTGACAGCTTCGTCGGCTCCCGTGAGCCATCCTGCCCCAGGATGCTCTCTAGCAGCTGCACCTCGCCGAGAGCTGTCCTGAGGTGCCCGAGTCGTCTCGAACGGCAGTTTTCAGGCGATCGCAAACATGGATCAAGGGGGCGTGGATTAGCGACGGGCTCCGTTTCCATAAGACATCGTGGGCTTCCGCCGCCGAGAGAGGCGGCGCCGGCCGCATTTTGGCGAGGCCACCTCCCCCGATCCATGGATTTGGCGACCGCGCGCCAAATCCGTGGGTCGCTAATCCGTGTTTGCGCGCCCCCGAAGTTTGAGGCCCAGGCTGCCCAGGATCCGAACGTGCGGTGGCCCCTCCGCAGAGTGGCCGCCCGTGCGCGGCTCTCGGGGGCACGGGCTGCAATGGAGAGCCCACGCCAAGAAGCACCCTGCCTGCCTCCCGGGCGCCCCGGGTGTCTTGGGTTTCGGTGGTTTTGCGATGGCGAGGACGACGTTCCCACACAATTCAGTGAACGGCCTGGGGTCTCAGGGCTGGGTTTCTTGAGGAAGGTTTCTTGCGGTCGAGCTCCTACTGTAGCCCACCCCACGCCCAGGAACGTGGGATTTCGCAATCGGGTGCCTATCGCCGGTCTATCGGCGACGTATCGCCGATTCCAGGCCGATGTTCCCCCCCTGAGCCAATACCCTGAGAGGACTTTGACGGTCCTGGGGCACGATGAGGGCCCCCGGAGACCGAGAACAGCCAACAACTTCCCACCGTGATTATTTTTCACGACGAGAGGAGGTGGGGGTGTTTGGCCAGCGAGAGCCCTCCTCTCTTGCATTTGCATGACCATGTCATGCATCGCTGTGCACTGTGCTTTTTGTTGCCGCAGCCGCTTAGGAACGAAACGCGTCGTCCTTGAACAATCCCCGAAGCCTGCAGCGCAGGGATCATCATTGAAAGTCGCGTGCCCGCTGTCACCTCTTGCCTTCGGCCGAGAGGATGAGCTCTTCCTGGAGGGCTACGGGCGCCAGTTCGGTGAGAAGCTCACGTACAGCATGGGGCTGACGTACGGCATGGGGCTGCTGGGCGGCGGCGCCTACGGGGCCCTGCTCGGGCTGCGGCAGGACGGCCCGCTCGAAGCGCGGACGCAAATGCGCATGCCTTCCCCGGACTTCCCCCGCGCTGCTGCAAAAGCATGGCGCTTTGGATTACCCGCTCAGCAGCAGCTTCCCAACCCCCCCCTTCATGCAGGGACAACGTGAGGTTTCAGAGTCAGAGGTCAGAAGGGGTTCGGACATTGTCGTCGGTTCTCGGCGGTGTTCCATCCCCGGGATGCCTTCCAGCGGCTGCGCCTCGCCGAGAGCGTTCCAGGGTTGCCCAGATCATCCAGAACGGCCGCCCGAGAGCCGAGCGCTGTCCCGAAAGCCAGGGACAACGTGCTTTCAGCTTTGCCTCAAGGGTTCCCACGTGCTTGTGCAGAAACCGGTGGGTCCAGCGCCCGTCGTCGGGGGCGGCGCTCGGCCTTCCTCGGGCTCCCCTGTCTTGGGTTCCTCAGAACTTCCTCCTCCTCTTCCTCCTCGTCCTCCTCCTCCTCCTCCTCCTCCTCCTCCCCCTCCTCCTCCTCCTCCTCCTCCTCCTCCTCCTCCTCTCCTCCCCCTCCTCCTCCTCCTCCTCCTCCTCCTCCTCCTCCTCCTCCTCCCCCTCCTCCTCCTCCTCCTCCTCCTCCTCCTCCTCCTCCTCCTCCTCCTCCTCCACTTCCTCGGGGTACTTGGTCTTGGGTTCTTCGGATTCCCCAGTCTTGGGCTCTCCCGGTTCGCCTACGCTGTGAAACAGACACTTCGTTGTTTCATTGTCCGCCCCGCTTCTGCGGCGGGAGGTCCCCGGCCACCTTCGGCTGCCAGGGGCCCTGGCCAGACCCGGGGCCCGTCGAAGGTTGCTCGCCCCGACTCCAGATCCGGCGTATTTTAGTTGACTGTCAGTCCGCCGTAATTGTGTCGGAAGTGCGCGCCAAACAATGCGAAAAAGTGCGGCCGATATTCCCGCATGTGAAGAGTATGGCGGATATTTCCGCAGAGGTATGGCGGAGACAGCGGCGGCAAAGTAGCGCGGGAATCTGCATCAATGAACTTGAAAAGTGGGGCGGAAATCTCCGCCATACTGGCGAAATCGCCCAACAGTACAACGAATCCAGAGTCAGGGGTCTCCAGCGTCGCGAAGAACACCAGACAGCGTTTTTCCCGCACTTTCAGTGTCCGCGGGCTGTTTTCGGGTTCTGAGGCAATCAGAAGCGAAGAAACGACCTGCAAAAGAAAACCCCAGCCCCTTGGGATGCGGTCGGGAGCTCCCGGGGGCCGCGGCTTGAAAAGGCACACGAAGCTGGAGGTCTCGCCTGAGCCAGTGTTTTTTGTTGGCCTTCGGGCAGCCCCCGGGCTGCCTTGGCCGCCATGGCTTGGCGCGAGTGTTGTTTGCACAGGTACGGTCGCCGTCATTCGAGATGAACGTCTGATGCGGATATGCCATTGACTACCGCCCACATCGACGTATGTCGGCATTGTTGGGCATCGGTGTAGGTTGGGCATCGATGCGCGTGATAGTGTCGGTGACAGCATCGACGCATGTTGGTCAGCATTCCCCCCATCGATGTCGCATTTGCGTCGGGCGTTTCGGGCAGGGTGGCGCCACCCCGAAGCTCTTTGTGAACTCGGTGCTCAACTCGAGCAGTCGCTACGGGCCTGCCCTGGGGAACCAGTGCGCTGTCATCACCCTCTTCTACGTTACCTTCAACAACTTGGTCTCTTGGGGGCGAGGTGCGGACGATTCCGGCAACGCGGCTGTGGCAGGCGGATTGGCAGGGGCGCTCTACAAGTCGGCGAGCAGGTCTTGGGCGTTGCCAGAGATGTGCTTGGCTAGAGGTGTCCCCAGGATTTCCCAGGAGGCCCAGATGGCCTCCAGAGCATCCCTCACAAGGCACAGAAGGCTTCGGGGGTTTCCGAAATGGCGTGAGAAGCACGATACTCGCTTGGTTCAGGAACAATGTTGTCAACCCCCAAGGTCGTGGCAGCCAGTAGCCAAGTACTCTTCCGCCTCCGCGGTTTTCTTCACCGCCCTGGACTGGGGCACTCGCAGCGGCTACTTCTGACGCCGCATAGTGCAGTTGGAGGGTGGATGGGGTGGAGAGATAAACCTAGACCCCCCGACGTCGTGAACAAAAATCGAACAGCATCGGCCTCTAGGGGTCCTCGCCAGGCCACGGGACCGTAAACAAAAACATATCGGGGTGAAAAACAGGTTCCCACAGTCTTAGGAAGGGGTCGAGACCGCGGAACCACTCTGAGATAGTCACGGCGTCGGGGGCCTGGGGAGAGAGAGGGGCGAAGGACGAGGTAGCTCGAGGTGCAGGTGAGAGGAGAAGAGAGGAGAGGGACTGGGGAAAAACACGAGAGAGAGAGAGAGGGAGAGAGAGAGAGAGAGAGAAAGAAAAAGAGTGAGAGAGAAAGAGAGAACACAACATCAACAATCTATATAGAGAGATAGACAGAGAGGCAAGGGGAGAGGGGAAGAGGGGTCTATGAGGTACGTCAGAGGTACTCGACCTATAGCGGGATGCTCGCTGCGAGGTCAAGAGGGACTGGTGTTGAGGTCAAGGGTGCAAATCGGGTCTTCGGCGAGATCGGAACGTGGAGGAGGAAATGACGAATGAGGAGCTGGAGAGAGAGAGAGAGAGAGAGATAGAGAGAGATCGCAACAGTTCGGGCACGGGTGTCAGGGCCCGGCAGGTGCTAGCGCCGCCTGGCGCACCCTCACACTGACGGTGGGTGCCGCTTGGCGAACAGGGTGGAACATTCTTCCCCCCCTGGCGCGGTCAAAAACTGACCCCGACTGCAGACAAAAAAATTGGAAGGGAGTGGAGATGAGGGCGAGGGACGCGCCCTCTGCGTGCCCTTGCTGATCCGTGCCGCAGGGCGGCACTGGCTTTTAACGCGCTTTTGCATGCGCACCTCGATGCCCTGGGGAAGAAGGCGCCGCGTTGGGGCATCCCCCTCGGCGGGCCAGTGCCAGGTCAGCGGAGCAAATTGCCAGGTGCTCTCGCAGCGCGCGACAAAAAGGAGAGGTGCGCTAGCGGTGAACAGCAAGTCGCGCCTGGAGGCAGTCCTGGAGAGTGGCCCCAGGAGAGGCAGGCGTGCGGAGAGCCTGTTGGAGTTCGCTCCAGGCGGATTGCGATCTTTGGAACCCGTCTTGGAGGGGCCTTGACTGTTCACGGATGCTGCGCAGAGCGTGTGCGAGGCTGGAGGCGCATTGGTGCAGGGCCGTGATGCTTTTGTGGTTGGCGCATTTTCACGTTCCTGGGCAGTCTCGTTGCGTTGCGTGAGGGCGCGTCTCCTGTCGGTGGGTTGCGCTGGTGTCGCTCGGGCACCTGCACCTTGGTGGGTGGTACTAGGGTCAAGTCGGGCCTGTCTCTCTACAGGAGGAATATTCAACACTTGCCAACAAATAGTCAGGGAACGATGTGTTTTAGTATATCCAGGCTATGTTTGATAATGTTTTCCCCTATTTTGAGTTGTTCCTCCAAGATACGCCTGTAGAGGGACATGCCCGACCTAACACCAGGGCCCCTGGCTCACGTTCCCTGACAGGGGCGGGGTATGGACTCGGTGGCAGAGTGTGCTGCGTTGGGGGTCTAGGTGCGCTCCCGCACTGGCCAGCCCAGCGGGTTGGGGCGACGGGGCTGGCCCAGTGAGGAGGAGGAGGAGGAGGAGGAGGAGGAGGGGGAGGAGGAGGAGGAGGAGGAGGGGGAGGAAGAGGAGGAGAAGGGGGAGGAGGAGGAGGAGGAGGGGGAGGAGGAGGAGGAGGGGGAGGAGTAGGAGGAGGAGGAGAAGGAGGAGGAGGAGGAGGAGGAAGAGGAGGAGGAGGAGGACGAGGAGGCGGAGGAGGAGGAGGAGGAGGGAGGAGGAGGAGGTGGCGAGGTGGGCGCAGTCCGCGACCCCAAGCTGCGCGCAGGTCCTCTCCAATGCCGTTAGCGTTACGTGCGCAGTTGCCCACTGGACTGGAGCGTGGCTAGCTGCATCAGGGGGGCGGCGAGGTCCGTACTGCCTCCCGTGTGGCGCGATTCTGGTTTGGCATGCGTGTTTCGTGCTCTGGCGCCTGAGGTGGGGTCTTGCTGCGCCTGCGCCTCTTGAGGCGCCGTCGCTTTGTGCCTCCTGGAACGAAGCAGTGCGCTTTCATCGTCCGCGTCATGACAACCATTGTCGTGACTTCCTAGTTAGGTGGGGGGTGCATGTCGGATCTGACGTGTGACCGTGACTGTGACTGCGCGTTGGGACAGCAGTCTGATCGTCATCATTGTCGAGGGGCCCGCCGAGACCGAGTGGGTCTTTTTCTCCCGCGAAATTTTCGGGAGGGATACCCCGAGGCTCGTCAAAGTCGTCATCGTACTCTGGCCCAGATGGCCAGATGGGCCTTGCGGGTGAGGCGGGTCGCCGGGTGAGCCTGGGGGCTCATCTCCCCCGCCCACCGTGGTGAGAGGGTTGGGCTGATTCGGCGGAGTTCCGACCTGGAGGAGCCAGCTTGTCTGTCTGGTAGCGGCAGTGCGTGATAACCGTTGTCGTAAATAGCTACCGCGGCGCTGTGGAGGACAGCTGCGAACTTATGCCCCCACTTGGCTGCGTCGATGACATTCTGAGGCAGGGAGTGCAGGAGGGCCCCAGCAGTTGCTAGCTCGTCAGCGTGGCGGCTGAAGGCCTCAGCAATAGGCGAGATGTGGCCTTCAATACTCCCTTGCTCACCGAGGTGGCTTTCAACTTTTTCAGCTTTGAAGATGCCGGGTTTGACTACCCAGTGAATGCTTGCCAGAGGTCAGCTTGCGAGCCCTCGGTCTGTGGCGGATCTTCCGAGGAGGGCTTCGAACGACTTGCTCTGTTGTCCACGAAGATGTGGACGTGTCTCTCGGCCGCGGTGGTAAGATGACGCAGCGCAAGGGTTTCAGCGAGTTGCGCTGACTACGCCAGGCCATGCGCTCGTGCGACGCGATTCAACCGATGGCCTGGCCCGTAGTCCACTCCGAAGCCTGCCCTGGCGAGTTGTGGGCGGGCCTGGTGCGAGCAGGCCCCGCCCGTGGCCGCGCGGACCCACCTCGCCCCCGTAGTGGGGCCAGTGCCTTATTCGAAGTGGTCCTCTTCTTGGCCCCCTGGCGGCGGTCTAGGGATGGGTTGCGGGAGTTCATCTTGGGCCAGGTTGGCCTGGAGGTCGAGGAGCTGCGCGTCCCATTCAAGTAGCCCGTGGTGCCGCGCGCGCGGCGGGGGTCTTTCCACTGTTCATCGGAGACCACTGTTGCCAGGGCAGCTCGCTCGTGAGCCCATCAAGGGCATCTCCAGACGGCGCCCTCTTGAGTCTCCTCTTCTCGGTTACAACGTCGGCATAGCGCCGATGTGTCGGCCGAGGTTCCCGCGCGCACGTTGGTTTGTTGGGTGTGATCACCGCCGCAGAGGTTGTTGCGCAGGATACCAGGTTGCCACGCAGAGCAGTTCGCTTCACCCTTTGTTCTTTGCAGCCGAGCATTGGCGAAGTAGTCGAGACCTCGTTTGACCGTCGCCACCGCTCCGAGGTCATGTCTTGTGACGGGGAGTCGTCGGAGGAAGGCGCATCTCTACGATGCTCTGAGCACGTGTGTCAACATCTCCGGGGGCAGTTGCAACCACGACAGGCGTGCGCCTTAGTCGTCGCACATAGTGCCGAAGGCTGGCCAGCTGCATCCCAGTTGGGCGGTGGTTTGCCAGACTCTGCCTAGCGTGCCGCCTCCTTGGAAGGTTTGCTCGCGGTCGCGCGCCTCTTCGGCTTTGGAGTTAAGACTGGTGTCTCGTCGCACCTGCCTGCGCGCTCCGAGGAACGCCTCCCGCTGCGCGATGATTTCCAGTTCCGAGGCACGGACTGTCGAGGAGCATCCTGGATCATTCTGCAAATCACACGCACGAAACTGAAAGGCGCACGGGGAATGGACGTCCGAGCGATGGCAAACAATAGCATCTGGTTCTCACGAGGCGTTCCAGACAGGGTCTTGTCGTCGCGGACCGGAGGGATTGGCATCTCTTCCTCGGCGGGAGGTTGGCGGAGGGCAGCGGAAGTAGACCGAGGCCGCCTCCGCCGGCAGAAGCTTGCGGAACGCGGGTGGAAGTGAACATCGGCTCCCTAAGAGATGGCAAGGTTTTTTGGTTCAGCGTTTTCGGGATCCGCCACGTATGACATTGCGCGGCCTGGTTGGTATACGGTTCCCTAGATGTGGCCTGGTGTGGACTTGGTAGCGTTTGCCGTCCTACGGAACACAGGGATTAGGAGCTCGTTTCCAGGGCAGTTGGTGTTGACAGGTTCCAGGACCGCTATGGCGGGGGGGATTTTTCTGCAGCCGAGTCTGCTGCAGGAGGTGGGTTCTAGCGTGTGAAGTGGGGCGTTGCTGGTGTATCGTCGGCCCCAGCGGTCACCAGGGGAGTGGTGACATCCCCGTTGTGTGCATCAGAGCTGATGAATGGGGCGGTGCTGTTGCCTCGGTGGGCGTCGGCGGAGGCCGTGGACCATGGTGGGTTTCGCTTGGAGCGCGGGGAGTAATGCATCATCACGTAGCTGCTCGCCCACACAGTTTCATCAGCTCGCCCCTGAGATTGCACCGGTTGGAAGCATGTTGTTGGCAGACGATGTCGAGTTCGGCTTGGCGTTTGTGAGCGAGCTCGTTGCATGCAGCGACTGCTCGGTCGACGCTGCCACTGCTCTGCAGTACGGCGACGCAGGCTTCTTTGCGGGCCATGGTGCTTTTCTGGTGGTCCTGTAAGGTTGCTTTTTGGCGGCCCTTGCCTGTTGGCTTGGGCTGCGCTGGAATTGAAAGCGCGCGGGCTGACCTTTTGGAGCCATGGAGCGCGCGCGGATACTCAAATGGGGGGCTGACGCGGCTCACTCGCACGCTCTGTTGGCGCGTGTCCAGTCTCGCGATGCGATCAGCGGTAATGCTGCGGGTGTCGTGTCCTGGCCACGCCCTGGGTCAGAGACCTTGGAGCCGAGACCAGAGAGAGAGAGATAGAGATACTAACAAACGAGGCAAAGAGAACGAGAGAGAGAGAGAGAAAGAGAAACATACAAAGACATAACGAGAGAGAGCGAGAGAGAGACAGAGAGAGAACGAGAGAGAAAGACACACACAGACATACAGACTGAGAGGTGGCGTGAGAGAGAGGACACAAACACAACAAACCCTACATACAAATGGCCAGAATACAAAGAGGAACAGGGACAGGATCTGCGAGGATCGGCAGGTGTGTGGGGAGAGAGAGAGAGAGAGAGAGAGAGAGAGACATGGGGGGGAGATGAGAGGCAGGAGAGGGAGCGGGGAAAGAGGAGGAGCAAGAGGAGGAGAGACCCAGGCCCGCGACGTCGTGATTTTGGCACCACGTGGATCCACGAAAGTGCTGGCCCCTCCCGGGGGGGCAGCTCTTTCATCCCGAGCCATTCTCTGACGGCCCCAGGCCTGGTGAGGACCTTCTGGGGGCCGAACCTCGTTCACGACGCGGGGGCGTGGGGCGGATGGGGCAGAGGACCTGGGCAGCCTCGACTTCCACGCGCCCTGGGCGCATGGTTTCCGAGGCCCTCCCTATCCGGGGACAGGAGCCCTGACCAGACCAGAAAGGAGAGAGCTCCCTGGGGGTGGTAAGGGGTTCCCCCCTCGAGGAAGAGCCCTGAGCAAGCCCACAGGCAAGACGCTGGAAGAAGGAGGAGGAGGAGGAGAAGAAGGAGGAGAAGGAGGAGGAGGAGGAGGAGAAGGAGGAGGAGGAGAAGGAGGAGGAGGAGAAGAAGAAGGAGGAGAAGAAGGAGTAGGAGGAGAAGGAGGAGGAGGAGGAGGAGGAGGACAACTTTCTGTTCAGGAGGGGGCTCTGGCGTTCGGGCCGCTCCTCCTTGATGTTGGCCAGAGCGCCCACCCGTGGCCGAGGCTCACCATGGCCAGGAAAGCTCCGTGGTTCCTGCTTTGGCGTTTCCCGTGGTGCAGTCGGGGCGTCTTCCCCCTCCTCCTATCCTCCTCGTCCTCATCGTCTTCCTCCTCCCCGTCAGGGTATAGATACGACACTGCATGGGGCAACTATCGGCCAGTTCGCTCTGGAAGAGAAGTGGGCCGAGAGAGAGAGAGAGAGAGAGAGAGGAGTGAATAGGATAGCATAAAACCAGTCGTACAAGTAGGCCGTCAGCAGAAGTTTGGAAAGCATGGGCCTCCCGAGTCTCCTCCCCTTCTCCTTTTGAGTGGTCGTGTCGTCGTCTCTTCCCCCCTAGCCTGGGAGCCCTGCTCGCCCAGCGCGTTCCCAATTCCAAGGGCACGCGGAAGGGCCAGCAGTTGCTTCCCCCGCACTGACCCGCAAGGACTCGTATTCACAAAGTAGCGAGCCTCTCTTACGGGGCCACCTCGGAGCTCACCCCTTGAAGCTTCGGGGTATGCCCCCTGCCAGCCCTAGTGAGAAGTCAGGGCCGCTGCACAACCAAATCGTAGGGGGTTTTCCCAGACGCGCGCAAGACACCGGTCTAGGTGTGTTGTCGTTGACCCCCATTACGCGGATGTCCTGTCCTGTCCGCCTCCTCGTCTTCCTCCTCCTCCTCCTCCTCCTCCTCCTCCTCCTCCTCCTGCTCTTCCAACTCCTCGTCCTCCTGCTCCTCCTCCTTCTCCTCCCCCTCCTCCTTCTCCTCCTCCTCCTCCTTGGTTCCTGCTGTGGCGTTTCTCGTATAACAGTCTGGGCGCTGAAGAAGGAAACTTTTTCGTTAGGGAGGGGCTCGTTGTTCCTTTATTGTTTTACAGTTTGCCTCAGGTTTTCCTGAGGTTTTCCATGGGAGATCGAAATTGGACCTCTTGGAGAAAAGGGCCCTCGTTCCTTGTTTAGGGTTCCTTACGTCAGCGCCCCGACTGTATCGCGACCATTGTATACCCTGGGGTTAAGGTCGTTGGCCGCCCAACAAATCACAAATTCGGCCTCCAAGGGTCTCGCGTCTTCACCACCCCTCCTCACTATACGTTTTCACTGTACCCTGCAATGCGACGACGCGACACATGCAACATCATGCAACAGCAGGACCAGAGTCTTAGAACCCGCCAGCTCGATGTGTGCGGGCCCCGGCGTCGGAAATTCTGCGAAAAAGCCCGTTGTGAAAAATTGACACGTGCAGATCTCGGGGTATCGCCCCCTCCTCCTTGGTGTGGTTAGGGTCTCCCTTCTCCCTACCCTGTCGCCTGCCACTGTTGCCAGGTATGAGTCCGGGGCACCTGCTGCGCTATTGCGCGGCCCTTCGCGCAACCGGTGCTGCCCGCTACCTGGCCGCTTGTGCCCTTCCCATCCCCGAGTGCTGCCCGCTGCCGTCCGGCCCTTTTTGCAGCCACGAAGCCGTGGGGTGCCGGACCCAGGGAGGCTGCACGCGAGGCCGGCCTCGGCAGGAAACGGCTCTCCTCCTCGTCTTCCTCCTCTCTTCCTCCTCCTCGTCCTATTCTTCCAACTCCTCCTCCTCCTCCTCCTCCTCCTCCGAAAATGCGGGAACCAGGAGTTAGCCAAGAATTGACTCCGAATTTAACTTATTCTTCTAGCGGATCTACTGTCGACCTTCCCACGCATTTCTTCCAGAGTTCGTTTATGGCACAGATGGCCCTTCAACCGGTTTCCTCCTCCGAATTTGCTCCGGAGTTTATCGGAAGTAAGGTTAGCAGTAGATCAGCCCGGATCTGCATTAATTCCAAAGTAAATTCACGTTGCGCCGCAGAATTTCCCCAGACAGCCTTGCCCGTGAATTTACGCCGGAGTAAACTCGCGGGTCCCATGTCGGCCCGCGCCATTCTCGACTGCGCCCGACTCAGTACACTCGCGGGTCCCAGGGCGCGAAGCAGCCGTGCCCGTGAATTAACCCTGTTCATCCCGCCGCAGGCGTTTGGGCGGGAAAGCGCAGCAACGAGTTTTTTCTCCATATCCTAAGATGGGGTTCTTGTTATTACTTGGACGCCTCCTACTCCTCCTCCTTGCTCCTCCTCTTTTCTCCTCCCCTCCTGTCGGACATACTCAGACTTGCTCATACACAGACTTACTCATACTCAGACTTACTCGTACTCAGACCTACTCATAGTCAGATTTACTCACACTCAGACATACTCATACACAGACTTACGCTTACACAGACTTACTCATACACAGATTTGGAGGATGTCTCGAGCGAGGCGCTCATTTCAGCACCCCTAAGGGGAGCCGCCAGGGGTGTTTGCACGGGCTCGTTCGCGGCCATTTTGTGGGGATGTCTCAGGCGGTTTGCTTGTTTCTGGGCCCAACATCCTTCGCTTTCGGAGCAGATTTGGAGGATGTCTCGAGCGAGGCGCTCATTTCAGCACCCCTAAGGGGAGCCGCCAGGGGTGTTTGCACGGGCTCGTTCGCGGCCATTTTGTGGGGATGTCTCAGGCGGTTTGCTGTTTCTGGGCCCAACATCCTTCTTGGGCGGTCATTTCAGCACCCCTTTCTTCGCGGCCAATGGGCGTCTCAGGCGGTTTGCTTGTTTCTGGGCCCAACATCCTTCGCTTTCGGAGCAGATTTGGAGGATGTCTCGAGCGAGGCGCTCATTTTCACCCCCCAGGTGGGCCAGATTTTGAGGATGTCTCGATCGGTTTGCTTGTTTTGGTGGCCAGGCTCGTGGGCGCAGATTCTTCTCAGGATGCCACAGGAGGCTCCAACAGGCTCCAGGAGGCCCCAGGAGACCACATGAGGTCCCAGGAGGCATCAGGAGGCCACAGAAAGACTCAAGAGGCCACAGGATGTCCCAAGAGGCTCCAGGAGGCCCCAGGAAGCTCCAGAAGGCCTCAGGAAACCACAGGAGGCCCCAGGAGGCAACAGGAAGCGCCAGGAGGCCTCGGAAGGCAACAGGAGGCCCCGAGAGGCCCCAGGAGCAGGAGGCCTCAGAAGGCAACAGGAGTGGCTCCAATCCCATGTGTTTTACGTATGCTCCTATCGATTGGGCCTCACCTGGAGCACGATTCTTTGATGTTCTACGTATGTTTCTATAGATGGTCCTTCTCCTGTGTACACAATCCTAAATGTTTTACTCATGTTCCTATGTATTGGGCCTCTCCTGGGGCACGAGTCCTTGGTGTTTTACGCGTGTTCCTATAGATTGCCCTTCTCCTGTGGCTCTAATCCGCAATGTTTTATGTACGTCTGTTGCTATAGATTGCGCCTCTCCTGGGGCACGAAACCTTCCTAGGAGGTCCCAGGAGGTCCCAAGAGGCTCCTGGAGACCCCAGGAAGCCCCAGTAGGTTTCAGGAGGCCCCAGGAGGCCCCAGGCTCATGCACAGAGACGCGCTCGTACTACTGAGGCTCATTCACACTCCAATTCATTCGCAGTTAGATTGATGTCCAGACCGTCACAACTGAAGCCCGTTAATATTCGAAAGCTCTTGCGCCTAGACATTCACGGCGGACAGGTCCATGCGAGTAGATGCACATATGGGGAGCTCCACGCAGTGAATAATTGAATCTCTCGCATGCGCCGTTTGCCCGCGAGCCCCCCCGCCGATCACCCCATCTCACCTTCCTTTGCCCGCGCCCTCTCATCCTGCTCTGCCACACTCCCCGCTCCTCCACTCTCGCCCCTTCCCTTCTCTCTGCGTCAAGCCCCTGGGATGTTCGGCAGCACCCCCTAGGAGGAACACGAGGAAGCGGCGGAGGGGCAGGATCAATTGAGAAAGATGAGGAGGAGGAGGAGGAGGAGGCGGGGGAGGAGGAGGCGGGGGAGGAGGAGGAAGGAGAGGAGGAGGAGGAGGGAGGGAGGAGGAGGAGGAGGAGGAGGAGGAGGAGGAGGGAGGAGGAGGAGGAGGAGGAGGGAGGAGGGAGGAGGAGGAGGAGTGGAGGAGGAGGGAAGAGGAGGTGGAGGAGGTGGTTCCGTAGCCACTTTGGCTCAAGGCTGGCCGGCGCGAGAGAGAAGCCCAGCGGCAGCGCGCCAGCCATGCTGGCGCAGTCGCTGCCGGCGGCCATCTTCGCTTTGCGCGGTGTCGCAGCGTGTGGCCCCAAGGGCAGCGCGGCGCCGGGGGAGGCCGCGACCCGCGCCTAGGCCGACGCGCGCGGGCGGCCAGTGCCGCAGTGCGCGGCCTGCTTCGGTGCGCCGCTGGCGCAGGGCGAGCCAGTTCACGTCTGGTTCAACTCCCCGACGAACTCCGCGGAAGCCATCGCGCCCTACTCGCAAGTCTACGGCCTTCACCGGCGCTTCTTCCACTTTGACGACGCTGGCGAGATGGAGCTCACGGACGCGGCCAGGGAGTACGCGCAACGCCTGCACTGCGAGACGCAGGCGCGGCTAAGGCGCACGCACACGCGCACTCGCACGCGGGCGCGCACGCCGCCCCCTCGACCAGCACGCCGCGGGCGCCTGCACGGCCGAGGGCCGCGCCAGCGCCCGCGCGGCAGGACTGCGGCGGCGATCGCCAGAGCTCCGTCGCAAAGCATCCTCGCCACAGTGCCCGCGGCGGCCGCGCCCGCTCCCGTGCCCGGCGTGGTGCTGTACAGGCCGCAGCCATGGCAGCAGGTCTCACACGCCCCACCTTTTGCGGCCTGCGGCGGTGCCCTCGGCTGCTCGCCAGCGGCCGCCGCTTCGGTGGCGGCCGGGCAGTGGCGGGCCGGCAGAGTCGGCGGCGCCTAAGCAGGGCGCGGAGGCGCGCGTGCGGCGTTCGCAGCTCGTCAGAGGAGGGAGGAAGAGGAGGATGCAGAGACGGGGCGTGAAACGCGGGCGTGCAAAAGAGCGCGCCAGCCTGCCGCGCGCTCTTTGACGGCGAATGACCCAGTGCAAAAATATCGTCGCTACTGGGAGCGCCAGGGTTGAATGCTTAGCAGCTCCCTCGCTCCCTCTTCTCCAGACTTCTCCTTCCTCATGTTTTTGCTGTTGCTGTTGCGCTGTAAGTAGATGGTGGCGGAGGAGGATACATGAGTTCCAGTCTGCTGCCGCGCATTGCGCCTGCAGATGCCGCACTGCCCTCTCGAACGCAACCGGTTTCATCAAGCACCACCTCTGCTCTTTTTCTTTCGTTGCCTTCGTGGATGCCTCGAGGGAGGTTTGTTAATAATGAAAATTGCATGATCTGTGAGGTGCGCGTGCAATTAAAGGGGGGAGACAAGAACCACAGTGGTGGCCACAGTGAAGAGAGCCCCTCCCCCGAGGAACCGAAACAAATTGGTAGCAGCCCAAGAATTGCGCCGACATTCGCGCGTAAGTTGCTAGCGTAAGGTCGCGCCTCAGCGTCCTCGTCTCCAGTGTGGCTTGCCGCGCTGGCGGCCCGCGTAAGCCACCGCGAATGGTCGCTGTTGATCGTCGCTCACATGATGAGGAAAAGTGGGAAGACAACGAGTGAGAGGAGGACGAGGAGAAGTGAAAAGAACGAGCAGGAGAAGGGCGAGGAAGAGGAGGAGGAGGAGGAGGAGGAGGAGGAGGGACCCAGAGCTCCGACGTCGCGTTTTTCTCGCACTGGACCCCTTCCCTGGGACCGGTTCTTCATGGTCCTGCATCCTGTGTAGTTTTGGGACGGCCCCGAGGCCTGGTGAAAGCTCCCAGAGGCCGAGAACGAGTCAGAAACGTTCGTCATGTCTTTCGCAGCGAGGGGGGGGGAGGCATGGAGCAGCGCGGAGGGCCCTCGCCCAGGGCCACGCGCAAGCGCGGCCGCGGCGCCCTGGAGCAGGACCCTGGCGCGGAGGAGCGGAGGGCGAGCGTGAGGCACTGCTATGCCGAGGGGCCGACGCCAAGGCCCCCCGCCCCCCTTTCAGCGGCGAGCGAGGGGGGGGGAAGCGAGAAGGAGAAGGCCTTCTCAGAAAGCGGCGGGGCTTCTCAGAAGCGCCCCGGCCTTCTGAGAGGCGTTCCTGCGTCTTCGGGGAAGGCTTAGAAAACTTGTTAGAGGGCGGCGGGACTTCCGAGCCTTCTGAGAAGGCCCGCCCCTGTTCGCTTCCGCCCCGGCTCGCCGCCGACCCTCGGAACTCCGAGGATCGAATGCTCGGAGGCTGGTGCCATCCAGGCCTCCCAGATGGGGTCCGAGCAGGTGGAGGGTCGAAGGACCGCGCCGCGTCGCTGATGCGGCTCGATGTGGATCCCGATGTTCTCCACGCCGATGCATCGACGATGCGGCGCGACCCTCCGACCCCATGTATTCCGACCACATCGGGGAGGCCCCTATATCGCGAGCGCGACTCAAACAGGGAGCGACTTGAGGGTTTTCTGGCCGCGCCCTCGTCGGTTCACTTTCAGCAGAAGGGGCGAATCGGTTGGGCGGCCGCGCCGTCGTCAGAAATCTCAAGCCCTCTCCTTCGTTATAATATCCCTTTTGGATTTTCTGCGATCTGGCAGGACGTCGTCACATTTGGAACCCTGTAGAATATATCCCAATCTAGGGAGGTAAATCGGCCAGTGGGACAGTGGGACCCAGGTCACGCC